AAAGCACCGGGCTCGGAGTCACTCCGTCATATCGCCACTTCCACGCTGTACAAGAGCGAACTCGTCGCTCCACCAATTGTGCTCCTTCGTGCATGTACAAAGCCAATGTATCCTCCGAACAAATCTGAAACGGGGGATGACGGTCGAACACCACATCGACGCCACATGAGAAGACCGTGCTAGCTTGATATACGACATGCAGTATAGTAGCGGTACGCAGTACAGTACGCCTCATATGGGCGAACTTACTCACGAACATGCCGCGCCACGACTGCGTGCCTGTCAAGTGAACAGGGTCACTAGGAAGAAAATTGGAAGGGTCAACACCGAATAACTTGAATGTGATTCAAAAACGCGATAATTTGACAAATTTCTCCATGAAAAGCTGACCTCAGGGAAGCTGAGCATACAGATCGGTACACATTCCAGCAGTTTTTCAGCAGACGCTACAGCTTGAGCACGATCGCGCACTTTACTCAGTTGGGCACGTGTCAGGTTCTGCATAGACAGTAGATGCCGAAGAATTAGTACTGAAACAAATTGTTTATCAATGGCAATACAATCAATTGTTGACACCACACAGGATTACTTGTGTAATAAACAATTACAAACAACAACAATTACAATGCATAAACAGTTTGAGGTCAGCTGCCTAAGCGGGATTATTTGGCTCACACTCATCGTTAGTGTATCTACGTGGCCTGGAGAAGCCTTGGCCAGATACCCCTGTCTAAACACTTATCACCAGTTAAGCCAGCAATTCTGCTTCTAGAACTCACATAGGTATTCATATACTACTATTCCAAATTGAAGTCGAATACATGGCGCATGCATAAGTGACATTGATTACCGCCGACTTATTAATTTTTGGCTTTCAGCATAAGCTCTACTGCTCTGCGTGCTCTCGAACTCGCATGAAAGACAGAATCTCAATAGAAACTCCGGAGACGACTGCTCCAGTTGGAACCTCACCTCCTGGCTGAAGAAGGGATCGAATTGTATTGGCATCTGCGGATTAAGATTAGTGGGTTCAAATCTTCAAAAGTTGGGCGCTGGGAACACAGTGACTTCTACACTTCGGTAAAAGCAGCCTTGGCACGCTAAGCTACCTAACCAAAAGGAACCCGCGGTAGCCCAAGACTGGAAGGCGAAGACTAGGGGCCGAAGACTTAGGGCCACCGCCTTCCACTAGTGGTCCAACGGTACAAAGTCAAAGCTGCCGAGGCGAAACAACGTACCGGTTATAATCTTGTTCGCCACAATTTTCCAGGGGAAGATCGGTGGACGGCTCCGTCGCGCGGTCCAGTGTGTTCTCTCCACAACCGTTGGGCGGCCAACCCGAAACCTGATGCAAGGATTCAGCCCATAACCCCTAGGCAAAAATGACACAGCAGTTTGACGCCAGCTCGCAATTAAGAGGTCACCAATTGTTAACAGATTCAGATAATAAATTAGGAGAAATTCTCAAAAAAAAGTGCAACACGGATCTCACCTAGCATTAGATACTATCGCAGCCAGCGTCAGAAGTGTTAATTCGAGAAGAGACAGTAAACGACTTCCAAGCTGGAGAAGAAGTTCGAGTTGATACATCTAGGTAGCCGCCAAAGCGATCCGTGCGCGCCACCAACACTGTTGCTCGTCGTATTACCTCATATTAGAGTGTATAGCGAAAAAAGTATCTGAAAATAGCCGTAAACAGATTACCTTATCTCCATTTGCAATTCGGCCTACTATCACTTCGATAAGTAACCGGCGCTCATCGTCTCTCTCCAACAGAAGCATTCTGATGACCGTGCGCAGGAGAGATGGTTCCGTGACTGTTTCTATACACAACTGGAGATATACCGTAGCCGCCGCGACACTTTCCTGCTCATCCTGAAAGACCTACAGTAGGAGTAAGAACAAATGGTGCCGTTACATATGATGCATTGACAATACAAAAAAGGCACCTGCAGAAGTGCTGGCTTCACAACGGAGATCAGAAATCCCGAATAGAAGAAACTGCATATCTGCTCAACAACAGCAGGATGTGCAGCCTTAAGAAAATATTTAGATACTTGACAAGCTCGTGAACGAAGCGATCAAAGCGACCCTCACCTGAACAACTGCATTACAGAAAAGTAATGAGGAATGAAAATTAGCGAGTGATTCAGCCGTATGTTCAGGAAGAAACCTCTCCACTCCATCACCAGCAATAATACGACTTAATTGAGAGAAACATCCAGAAAGACCAGTAGCAACCACAGGACAAAAGGCACTCTAAACAAAGACTAGTTTATTCGAAAGGCCATTTCCAGCACTCATTTAGTAATCAATAAAACGAACTTTATAAGCAACAAATTCCGCTATTTGCTCATGATTCGCTGATACGGAGAGGATGAGGAGAAGAGCATCACGAGCCAACTGGCCAACATCGTTCTGAAATTTTCGTTTAAAGGACCTTACAAAGACCTTACGGCAACAAAAGCACAGCAAAAGATCTGATTGATCTTCTGAGGATATCTGTTCTCTTGCTCGGCACGGCAAATGTTGCAAAGGGGTGAGCTCTTTCCACCAGAACTGCGATTCGGAGTTGAGTGTCGAATCACACTGGGGAAGGGGGCTTATTTGGCCGCCCGGAAGGGGGGGGGGTCGTAATTATGATTTAGCGAAAAAAAATACCCGAATGTTGACTTTTCGCAAACTTCTGCTTCACGTCCGCTACGCCTACATACCCCGCCCCTCCCTGCCCAGCGGATTTTCTCTGGGGCGCAAGCGGAGGAATTTTCGAAAAAAAAAACTTCGTGGAAGTGATAGGAAGTTCGAAAAAATTTTGGAAATGGCAGATAGTGGCCATAAATGTGTATGCGACGCGTTGTACTATATGTCAGAAAATTTTTGAGGGGGTTGTACTCTCACGTACTTTTCTTTGCGACGGCAGAACCGCGTGCAACTGTTTGCTTATCCCACGTGTTAACACTGTCTCTCAAGTTCAAATCTGTACCTAACTTGAATTAAACAGTCAAAACAAAAGGAATAAGAATCATTACCTGTCGTACGAGGTACCGGCATGAGAAGTGAAAAGAGACACAATTTGGTCAGGCACCCTCGGCGCGATGAGAAGAAGTAATTATGTGAGTAATGTTGGGATCTTCAGCTAATTTAGTACAAATCTAGTAAATTCATTCTCAAATGGAATAAATACGTGCACAAATATTTTCACAAGTAAAATACGGGCCCTCTCCTCGGCGACGGGGGGATATTTACGTTTTGCTACATGAAGATCGTGGAGAACCCTCCACCAGGAGCCATTCCGCTAGTTGCTCAGTTTTTAAGAGCTTTACACTGAGTTTAATCAGATGTGACTTTTCTAAACGCTGGACACTAGGAACTAGTGAAGCCGCGAAAGTGCAAAACGCCCGCTCCCCCGCTGGCGAACTGCGCCCCAATCTCAGCGTTGAGTTCTTCTACTGAAAGCCAAAAGCACACTCGCTTACCTGATTCAAAAGCACAACAAAATGTTTCTCCGTAGCCGACGGATGTCCTAATTTGTTGGGCCGGAGTCCTTCTGCACGTTCACACCTTTGCAGATACGAAATGTTTGTCTACTTGAGCTCATCGAAAACCAATAATTCACGAACCAATCAAACAGCCGTAGCAGCGGATTTAGGATCGGTTTATGAACGAGAAGGCAATGATTCTGAGTATGGCTCTCCGAGACGATCAGCTCGTATATTCGGACCAGAGCTAACTGTAAAACATTATATGGCGATTCAGTTACAATAAACGCCACTTCAAAGCCCTAAGATGAAAGAGGGGAGTTCTCAGCGTTGACCAATCCCTCCCTGATATGCGCCACGCTCTACTGCCATTCGAAATAACTAATGACTTTCGAATGTAATTTGGTCCATAAAATGACTTCCAGAGGCCAGCAGATCTACAAACCAGGGCTTATAACCTCCCATATCAGTCAGCTCCAGAGGGGCGGAAAGCTCGTCGATCATTACACTACCAAGTAAGTAACGCTTTCATCGTCAAAATATTACAGATCAACCTGGCTACGATCTTACAGATATTTTCCCCGAAACTTAAACGTCAAGCACTACGAGGAGGAAGGTGATCTACGACCAGCTATTAGAAATGACAGTTATGCCACGCCGGATCCCACAGGAGGAGGGGATGTCCTTTCCGTGAACCCTTCACAGAGGAAAGATTCACTGAAGCTCCAGCTCGAAGCAAGAGGGAAGATTATGTTTCGCTCACTTCCCGTCCAAAAGGACTTACGGACCAGAAGCTCGACTCTGCCTAGTATTTCGCACTGGTTCGATTTTTCAACCGTCGATGAATCTCGTTTAATCTTTCTCCTCAAAGGAACTAATAGCGCTCACCTGACACGTCGGCTTCAGAAAATCAGGAACTTGAATCGCCCAGTCGAGAACCATTTCCATGATTTGATTTGTAAAATATCTATCAAGAATAGGTCCTATGGCAGGTTCCGGTTGCGCGTTCACTTCCATCATTAGCAGCTGGCACATTCGGGTCAGTATGAGCTTACCAGATGTGTCATCTGGTGAATTAAATGTTAATAAGCTACTTCAATAAAATAATAAATAAGCTTGATCATCAATGTCAAATCCAAAGCCTAGTAGTGAAATAAAACAAAACAAATCGATTACCTCGTTATAGGTAATATCATGCTCTGGATGACTCGCTTTCTTTTCGAGTATCTTCTCCGCCACATTCCAACACTCACCGAATTTCCGTTCCCATTCAGAGGGATCGGACGCGTACGCAACGCTCCAGCTCTCTGATACCGCGACTTGGAATACGCAGCAGATATCACAACTGAACATCACAAAGAAGCGAACTTATGCAGTTAACATTTACCTGTTACGAAGGTGACTCGCTGATTGGCATGGAGTCTCCGGCGACGGGCTCGGTGTAACCCATCGTCGACAACCACCGTATCATTGAGCCTCACATGCAATAGGGCCTAGGAAAAACCGTATGTATCTAAATTTGAAGGCCACAGCAAAAATAAAACAGTCAGAAAGGTAACTATCAGATCGATAGAACTGGTTATAAGGAGCGGACGCAATTGTAAATAGTTTATCAACAAGAACATCAACAATCAGAACTGTCACAATATCAACAATTAATAGAAGGGTAAAAGACAAGTGTAATATAACGAATGTGGAATAAATGGAGATCACTATATTTCAAGAAGATTATTCAAAATACTCAGTTTAGGTGTGGATGATAGATTTCGAGTTGTCATTCCTGTAGTCAGAAACAATTTCCACCATTCTTACGCACATCTTCAAGTGTGCATAGAGGAACGTAGGACAGAGCTCGACCACAGGCTGCGTAAAAGGAGAAGTCACCGCGTACTATTCGACCAATAATCAGTCTGAAATGACAAAAAGTCGTTGAGTACTGCACTGTTTGGTGTTGAAGGGGAATGCGCGCTTCGCTTTCACTGATCGCCCAGAGGGATGGGTCGTATCAGTACACACACCCCACACCCAACAAGCTTCAAGATGTAAGCTTGCTGCCTGAGTCGTTTTTTTTATACATTGTGTATGAATTCGTATAATACACCCGTAGCAGCTGCCATTACCTCTTATAATCAAACTTAAAAGCAACAAAATGGCACAGTGAAAATTGAGATAATAAAAGCATAGAAAATAATCACAAAAATATAAAGCAAGTGAGGGTATCCCCCCCCCCCCTTAGTCAGTAGAAAGAGTTTCACCGAGAGGTCCTGGTCGCTTTGTTCAAAACACAAAGAGTGCGACACGACAGGTCAGGGCGAACTGCTGTCAACTCAACACCCCCCCCTTGGTCTGCTTTCTTGCGGTTACGAACAAATTCGTCCGAGACCGCACGTCAACATAATGGGGACTTCACAGTTGCAAAAAATAAAATGGAACGAGCTATGAAATGGCATGTGCAACTTATCCTTTGAAGAAATTCTGGAAGGAAAACTGCCCAATGATATAAATCACCCAGTACTAATGAGTTGGTAAGGCGGAGGTGATGTAGAGGCAAGTGAAGCCAATTAACTCACTCCTGGAAAAAAAATCAGGTGTTGGCCTCTCCCAGCTAAAACAAGCTTGCACATTACTTTCTGGAAAAGTCACATTGCAGACCTTTTTGGGGAAAACAAACAATTCACCTCTACGTATTTCAATTAGGAAGGAAGAATGCCGCGGCAACCGTTTCGGTACATGTCCCGGGCATTTTTAGTTTATAATTGAGTTTCGCACGATTCCGCCGGCAGTAACGGTACCAAGAAGTCTCCCGGTATCGGCGACGACAGGTCAACTGTCATAAACAAGCCCCACTTGCCTTCAAGAAAAGTCAAGCTTGTATGAGTACTCTTACTTTTTGCTATCCCATTATCCCCGGTTCTTTTAAGAAAACTGAAAACTCAAAAAATGGATGTACAGTGGCAACATGGTAGCGGCGCAAGGTAGAGCGATATATGTGGCACCAGTCTATCCCGACAACGAGTACAATCAGAAAAAACTTTTTTTTCGTTCTACTACTATATTACTCCCACGTCTAGTTATTCTGCGAAAACAAAAATTTCATGTGCAAGTTAAAAGCCCACAGGCTCACTTTAAGATTATTACAATTTGGACATGCGCTGTCCTTATGTGCATAGAAGCGAGTGGAAACACATTGGGAGGAAAAAATTGGAAAAGAAAAGCAAACCTGTTCGCTGACTCTCTATGGGGAACTTTCTCCTTTTCCTCCTTTTCTTCATTCAATTCTCTTAGGCGCTCTTCTCTATTCACGCGACGTCGTTTTGCGCTTTCCTTTTTCTTCCGATTCGCGATCTTTCGCTTCAGCGTTCTGGAAAATAAATCATAGCACGGTGGAGCAAACTATTACCAATACATACCCAGTCGATCGGAATATTTTGCGATACTTTAACAGAAATTTCGGAGTACATTTAATGTATTGAACGAAGTAATCACCATCTATAGCTTTACCCACCTCCTTTGCGAGTAGAGGAAGCCGATTGAGAACAACAAAGGAGTAATAACGGACTGAATGGAGTTTGGACCCACCTGTCAACAACCTTGTTATCAGGGAATAGGTTCTTCAATGAGATGGGTTTCTCGCGTGATGACTGATCTAACGATACAACATCTTTCCATATATCAGCCTTCACGGAGCTTGCTTGCTAAACATTACATAATTGCATGTTTAATGTATTCAATAAACGTACTTTTAAGGGAGTCGGCAGAAATGTGAAATGTTTTGACGACGGCAGAAATGACGTGTCAGACGACATCAGCCCCCTCCCCTCGCCCGAAAGTTTCTCCCTCCGGTGCGACCCCTATCCTCCCATCTTAGAACTCTTTTTTCCTCCCAGAGTTCCAGAAAACTTTCTAGTTTTTCCTCTAGCAGAAAGGGAGATCGCCACTAAACAACACTTCAACCATCGATAGTAGTAGTTCTATAGAACTTTGACAGCGCCCCAAACTAGGGGTTCAAGACAAGAATACCCCCCAACGACCAGAAAAGACCTCCTCACCAACGAGTAAGTATGACCCTCTGGTGGGATTTTCCCAACGACGTCGCACCCTCTGAGCTTTTTACACAAAAACAGTGTATGTGCTTTATTGCAGAAACAACTGAACTGAAACTGGTAAAGGCAACGGGCACGATAGCTGTGGGGGCGGTTTTTGCCAATGTAACTGATGGTAGGGCTGACTGGGTAGTGGCCAAACGCCCTGATGCAGCCTTTCCATCAATGACGCTGGCAACAACCGTCCACCTCCTACAACCGTGCCCCTTCTTTCAAGGCACATTTAGCTCCATCCTATGAGCGAGTCATCCGGATCATTACACTTTCCTCATTGTGTGGTCCTACTTTTCTTCTTCCCGAAAAGGGTCTATCAGCGCAGTTGTACAAGGTGCAGGCTGTACAGAGGGCTCTACGCACGATCAGCGGAATGGGTCTCAATGGAAGGGGAGGGTCTACGACGTCTCCGGATTTGCAGGTATCGTCTCCAGCAATCCGAAATTTTATCTTCAAATAATCCGCGAAAATGGAGACGCAGAAAGATCTGAGAAAAGCTCAAGTTCCGTACATTCACTGAATTCATTACGAGCACGACCAATTGACCGATTCAACTTTTGAATCTTCCAGATCACTTTTTCCTCAAAAATTACGGGCGAGACGGTGAAAAAATTTGTCGTAAAGCATCGACCGAACCAAGTTCGGCATCCTACCTTCTCTATACTAAGTGAAGCACAACTCTATAGCTCAGAGAAAAATTAACTGACCTCAAACTCCATTGAGTTCTCCTCCGCTTCTGCACGAGAAACACGTGGCTCTTGTTCAATCCTAACTGGACCGTTTTTGTGCCGATTTCTAATCTAAAATCAATCCAACGATTGGAACGCAAACTGACACTACCTCTGCTTGGACTGGATGTATGACACTGTGCTGATTGTGAGAAAACAGTAGGACATTCAGTCTGATTTTTCTTTTTAATTCTGCCATTCACAATTACTCTAGGAATCCGGATCCGCACTTATACCTACATTACGTGATAATGAATTTCCCCATCCAAGCGTTCTCTCTCCACAAAGAAAGAGGAGGAATTGGGGAAAAAGTCAAATGTGTGATCGGTTGTATAAATGGGCTATAATTACGGGGTATGTGACGAGACAATCCTGATTCGTCGCGCTGATGGGCTAGACCACTGATGTCGCTTGCCAAAATGGCAACTCGGATAGTTCGCAGTTCGCATTCGCACGATACTCTCATGTCGGTTTTTTTACTAGTAGAACACCCAGGCAGGGGTGAGGTTAAGTTACGGATGTTAGCTAGCTTGTCTGTTGGGAACATCTTACTTGAACTGCCGCGCACGATCGTGCGGCAAATTACGATTGTCCTGACCGTCTTTAATAAGTAGGAGGGCACAGATGGGGTACTAACAGTTTGCTGGAAGTAACAGATTGTGCTTCTGTCACATGCATCGTTGAGTGATCACAACCAGGGCCGGGTCTCGCACCGAACCATCCTTTCGGGGTTGGAAGTTTGACACCAGACTCGTATGGGAGGATGGAAATGCGCCGCTCGGCTTGGGGGGGGGGGGGGAAGGACATTTTCTATTTTCGCTCCTTCTGTGCTCGTATCCGTTGCTTTACAAGGGTACCAACTATGACTGGTATCAATTCATGGTTTCATCAATTTCACGAATCTCCTTCTGATGGCTCGACATGACCAAGGGAAGTAGCGAAAGTAGCAGATGCCCCCACCCCACCTCCCCACGTCGCGGAACTGCACCTGAAGATACAGGCTAGCAGTCTGGATTACCCTACTGTTTGCACCGAATCGCATCCAAATAACCACGATTCTGAAGGAAGTTGAAAGTGAGGCAAATACCGATGAGGAATGGGTCTACGCTGGAAGCTTTATCATTTGAAATTAACCTAGTTTTCGGGCACGCGCACAAAGGTGCACGCGACAGCGCGTGCGAAAAGTTTCTTAACGTAGTGGCTGCTTCTTCGATCTTTTGCGTAGTTAAGGATCTAGACCTCCCCTACTGGACGCCGTGCCACAGAACTGTCCATACTCTGAATATTGGTCTATACATCGATAAAAACATACGAAAACATGGCAAAAGGAGACGAAAAGGAACATGCCTTCGAGGCGAAAAAGCGGAGGTGCGCCGTGTACCCAGGTCACAGCTTAGGTCATACATTTGATTGAAAAACCTTTAAGACAGTGGTGCCGGAAGCAATGTGGCATTTAAGCAGTAGTTTATGGCCTCATTCAGAACTGTTTGTACACACGAGGAATAAATAACGGGCGACAAAGTGATTAGCAGGAGGAACAGAGCAATAGTAAGGATAAGGCCTTCATAAGAGGATAGTCTCCGACACTGATCAAACCCTTTTTAGGATGATCCCTATCGCATTCTACATC